GAAGATGGGGTGATTGTTGTTATATAGTGCAGAGACTTAACCGAGGCGGGCAACATAAGGGAACCGCCTCGGTTAATAATTTAACTGGCGAGGCGGGCGGGCTAACCTAACCGCCTCCGTTAATCTACATTAATCGAGGCGGTTGGGTTACGTCAAGCGCCTCGGTTAATCATTTAACGGAGGCGGTTGGCTTAGGGCAACACGCCTCGATAGGCGGTTGACGTAACCCACCGCCTCCATTAATCTACATTAACCGAGGCGGTTGGGTTACGTCAACTGCCTCGGTAAATCATTTAACGGAGGCGGTTGGCTTAGGGCAACGCCGCCTCGATTAATGGGAGATTAACCGAGGCGGTCATGTTATGTGGCCCGCCTCGGTTAACTAATTAACGAGAGGCGGGCCGCCCAACCGCCGCCTCAACATGCATTTTGAAACGTCTCCTAAAAGAAAAATTGTAGTAGTGACACTCGCGGGAGAAGACGTAAAAACATTGTTATACCCTTCAGATTTAATTAGAAATCAGTTTCTGGCTCACATATTTTTAGTTCCGGCTCACAACTTCAGTTCTTTTATATTGGTTCTTCTTATTTTTTGACCATTAGATCTATCCAAATGAGTGGCTCTTCTTTTTTGCAAGCATTGTAAAATTTCTCTTATATTTATATTATCCAGATCAATAAAGCAGTCTTCCCTATGTGGGTGCAAAAGGCCCTCCAGCCGAAGACTAGTGATAGGTCCGCCCCATCTAACAGGTCTATTCTGTTCTTCCAGTTATTGAAATGGTTCTGCCGCTCCATCTCAAATGGTTCAAAAAAAAGCATCAATCTCGAGTTCTCTTTTTCTTTTCAGGGTAAGGGTACGGTGATGGCAATCTAGAGAGTACCAGGTGGAATATGTTTCATTCAAACTTAAAAAATCAAAATGCAAATTCATATAAGCTTCAATATTATTACTCTTACTACTGAATAAGTCTGAATATCTCATCTTAAATCCCATCTTTTCTTTATCAGCTCTGCTCCCGAACAAAGAAAGGAGACTGATTTTAGTGGCGTGGGTGATACCCAACGAAAAACAAATTCGAACACGAACACGAACTTCAATGAAAAAAACAAATGCTAGTTGCCATTTTATGTAACACATACACTAGAGAAGGTTGGGAACTTGGGAGGAATGAGAAGGAGTGTTAACAGATCAGCGAATCGGCACACATATGTCAAGATCTGTAACATACGCAGATATGCGGAATGGTGGAAGAGGACGAGGATGCGGCGGCGCTCTCAATGGTGCTGGTCATGGCGGCCCCAAGTGCCAGATATGCGGCTACTATGGCCATGAAGCACTTACCAGGCTGAAGAATCTCGCTCTGGCAACTTGGCGTCAGTCAAGCACGACACTAAGCTAGTGATCACCTCGAGCGGATGACTGTTCATGAGCGCTATGGAGGAAAAGATCAAGTGCAGGTAGCAAATGATGGACCGGGTCTGTCAATTTCTCATATTGGACATTCCAACTATAGCTGCTTCTAACAATCCTTTAATCCTATAAAAGAAAATGTGCTACATGCCCCTCACATTAGCAATTAAGAACCTCCTAATCCGTTCACAAGCTTGTCACTGACAACAATGTTTTTATTGAGTTTCATCCTGATTCTTTTTTTTTTTTTTGTCAAGGACAAGGACGTGAGGAGGTTCATCCTACATGGTAGAAGCCAAGGTGGACTGTATCCAACTAACAAGACAGGTGCGCTTCGCCGCGCCCGCAGGCACAGTGCGACAGAAGCACTTTGTTGCATGTGCCAATATGTCGAGGAAAAAGGATGGTTACGCAACATTCGTAGTTGAAGGACGTCATCTTAGTGTATTTGAGAATACAAAATAAGTTTTGTGCATAGAGCAACTTCAAATGTTGGAGACAAAGGAAGCCAGCGTTATATACAACACACCTTAATTCATGTGATTTCTAAACATAAAGATAATCCATTAAGGAGATGGCAAACTGCCATCAAAGCAAACTTATTGAACTAAATAACAACATTACATGTGCGGCAAAAGCATTTTGACGACATCATAGTAGGGTATTATCGCTACACCAGTCACAGTGGCAACTAATATGACAGGCTTAAATAATGTAAGCAGAGGAAACATTAGCTGATCCAGAGGCTAATAGACCAAGCGTTTTACATTAGAGTGGTTTGATCATGCATGAGAATTGTTGCCCTGCAGTTTGTTGATTGTAATGTAGGTTGCTCACCCAGCAGATTTGAAAAGAAATGAGACATAAACAGAGCACTGCACACATGCAAGTTTGTTAGATATCAATTGATACTATTAAGCAAATTATGAAACAAAACAATGGTCAGATAGATCATAAACGTCGATCTGTCCACTGAACTCTACATGTTCTCTTCGGTCAAAAAAAAACTCTACAGGTCCTCCAAAAATGTATTCATGTAAGAAGCAACATAAATCCATGAGCTGTGAGAAAACTAACATGCTTTAGAATTGCAGCTCGTCAAACTAATTACTCTAAAGTACATGTACTTCAATGTGAAAGGCTACGTCATTGAAAAGTTTCTCTCTCTAAACAGGTTGTGAAAATGCCCCACATGCCAAATCAGTTTGAAGAAAACAAATTGCAACTAAAATCACGAAGGTAACTCTTTTAGCCCAGCGATCACATTATAGCAAAAGGGAGTGCACATGATTATGAATCCCAGTGTTCAAATTAGGAACTAAGAACAGTTCTAGCTTGAAGAACAGAAATGGTTTACTAAACCTAAATATACTCATTGAAAAGGTGCTTGAATTAGGGTGGCCACTCGAGTATTGGGGAACCGTCACTCTGAAGTCTGAACTGATCACGTAATGGTGGTTGTCCTACTAAACGAAAAGTTAGCACCAATGCAAAGCACTGTAATCCAAAAATTTTGAGTAGAAACTATAGGAAGAAGATGGCTAGAGTCTACAGAATATAAATGAGGAAGGTAGGCCCCTACTATGTTGGTGTTCAGGTCATATATGCATATCTTAATAGGGTGAAAACAACTTGTGGACCAACAACACAGACCTGTTAATGGAAAGGCTACAATAGTGGTACACAATAATGCTGAAATGAATTTGTTGGGTGGAAATACAGAAGAAAACAAAGCATACATCTAAGCTACCATGTCAATAATTTTTTTTTCCACAGGAAATGTATTAGAATGTACCATTACTAATCCCAGTTGGGTGTGCCGCTTGCATAGGGCACACAAAAGAGTGGGAAAGCAATAAGGAAGGCATCAAAGCCTAAGTCATCCAAGATCCCTTGAGAAAATCAAAATAATGCTATAGTCTAAGCACACATCTATGTTTAACCTGGTAACCTACAAAACTAAAGCTTTTAAACTTCATGATATGAAGCTGAAACAGGAGTTAAGTTTTAAACAGCTGCACAATTAAAGAAAGAATTGGGTGCTGGGTGAGGAGAGCAGGGACATAGTATAATAAGTCGTGTTGGGTGGTGTGATTTGGTGTGTTTTAACTTGTTAAGCCACATAATAGATAGGAAATAGAAATATTTGTCTTCCATTATCATCAAAAAGTGATCTCTACATGGACTGGGCAACATTTGTAGTGAGAGTAATCTGAATACAACATGGCTGAAATCATTTTCAAGAGTGGCATAGGGATGTAAGGCGGAGACACTAAGGGTAAAACACTATGAAAACTATCTTCCTTTTTTACTTTTACCTTTTTTTAATTGTAACATGCTCCTTTTCCAGACTAATACAGAGAATGAGTACAATGATATGTGTGATTGAACAACTAAACAAACATAGAAATGGAGTACCTGCTCATCATTGAGGATAAATCTAATCTGACTCTAGGTGGCTGCTCTCTGTTTTTGCATTCAGAAAACCTGAGTTGCCTAACTCCAATAGTCCATTGATGCAAATGAGACGTCATCTCTTTCAGAGGTGTATGATTCATTCTGTATTGATGAGAAAGCCAAATAAAACATAAATAAATAAAGATATTAGATATTCATGTGGACTAGAGTATCTATCTGTGAATAATGAAAAAGCCAAAGTGTGTTATATAGCAGAGCAGAGCACGCAAAGGATATAGCTGTGATTTTTTTACTACCAAAATACAGATTCATGGATGTTTGAGGAAATCAGAAACGGCTGAGACAGGCTTTCATAAAATCAATGTGTGTCATAAACTTGTCTTGTTCATCAAAGCAAACATGATCCAACATGTTAGTTCTGGTTAATTAAAATTCAAGATAATCACAATGCTATCAGAAAGATGTATAGTAAGGCAGAGGCAAATCACAATCTCTTTCGGCACTAATAGGCTAAGCAAAAGTTATTCAGCGCGCGTACTAAATCATATAAGCTAACCGTTAATACCCATTGCCTCGTATTAACCTCTTATTGACATAGACTGAACAATAAGAAGCTGAGCGCAATACTGTGAAGTTTGAACTTTGAAGCTAAGCAATGGAACTGCAGCACTTCAATTGTAGAATTATGTACCTGTTAATCTGTCAACTAATGGGACATGGAATTGGGTCATGAAATCCCGTAGCTGGGATCCTCAAAACCTGTGCAGATATGACATAGCAAAGGAGATCAATTTTGTTAAAGTAAAAGAGAGGAGAAGGGAACCATTTAAATCTGAATCTCTTGCTGCATCATCTAATAGAGAGAACTACCTAACCTGACTTTTGCATAGATGTCGTGCAATAAAAATAGGATCTCCATTTCAGGAAGACAGGCCTATGGTTTTGATATGAATTCATTTCTGCTCTGCGTGAATAAAAGACAGAGGTTGCCCATATTTGACGATTCCCAATCCGCCCCAATATTGAAATCCTGGAGAGCCCGTGCACCGAACCGGTTCACAGGAAAGGACCCGTACATACATATGTAGCGATAGTCGCCGGTGCGAACCTAAAAGCAGATACTGCCGAAAGGATAGAACCTGAACATGACAGAGCACGGCACAGAGGAATGAGGCCAATCAATAGCGCTGAGCACAGGAAAGCAAGACACTACCAATTACCAAAGCATAGGCGCAGTGACATGAAAAAAACACGGGAAAAACAGGCAGGAGGCGGCGGTGCATACCTGACGGCTGGGTGAGCCCGGCCGATGCGGCCGGGGCCAAGGGGCGAGCGGAAGCAGAAGGCCAACAGCCCAAACCTGCGTATAAGACCAAAAAATCAGCAGATCGGCCGAGCGCGTCATATGGAATGAAAGAAGGGAGCAGAAATCCAGAAGCCGGCTGGCGAAGGCGAACGGAGAAGAGGAAGGAAGACGGGCCCGCATCCATGGACGCGACGGAGGCACACACCTACGCAGCAACCTCGACGGCAATGGCGTCGCCGCGGCACGAGAGGCGGAGCTGTGGAAGCAGGAGAAGGAAGGGGAGCAAGAAAAGGAGACGGATGCACTTAAGGCGCAGGTCGACGGATGCGGCGAGGCTGGTGCGAGCGCGAGCTCCGACGCAGCGGCGCGGCGCGGCGCGTGGAGACGCGCGCCTTCCAGGTCGGGCGATGACGGCTCCGAGGCTGAACGGGTCGAACCACTGAGACTGGGCCAGAGCAGACCTGGGCCCATGAATCATGAGAGCGGTGGTCGGCAGCCCCGTGGAGATGGTGGACGAGATCGTCCTCGTCGGCGGCAGCGCGCGGATCCCCAGGCTCCGGCAGATCGTCCAGGACTACATGGGTGGCAGGGAGCCCAACAGCCGCAAGGGAGTGGAGGCAGAGGAGGCCATCGTCCATGGCACTGCAATTCTCTCCCGTCCTGAGGCAGCTCGGTACGTGGTGGAGTGTTTTGGAAAGTGACACTGCAATTCTTCTACTACCACAAGGTGCAGGCAGGCAGCTTCAATTTGATTTCTCCTCTCTGATGAAAGAGCCTAGCTACTACGTACGAGTAGTAGAGTAGAGTACTTTGAAAGAATTGTGAACCCAATTATTACTGGGGAGTAGTACTAGTACATTGCAGCAGCTGATCAATGCGTGCATGCGCTAGCTTGTAAATTCATCTTCATCTTTAATTTGCATGAAATGCCTTTGAGAGAGCGACGCATTTTGTTACGCTTTATTATCTAGTACGTGGTGATGTTGGCCATCCACAAAAGGGGCTCAAAATTTGATCTTTGGTATCCTCGATCAAATGCAAAGTTTACATTGCCGTGTGCTGTTGTAGTCCCTCCTCATCAGTCATCACTGAAAGAAGGAATCTTGTATCCGATAATCAGGCTGAGCACTCAAAAAAATTTACCATGAAACGACGACTGACATATATTATTATGAGGTACCAAATTTTTAATACGTATTAGCTTATATATAATCATAAAATGTATCTTTCATGCCGTACACATTTGAAATCATAACCATTATTGATACGGAGTTTCTGTATTTACGTATATATAGCAGTAGTATAGTAATAAAAAGGCCAAAAGGGAGACTACTTTGACTTTTGGAGCAAAACCGTGATCCGTCGGCAGGCGAACGAGTGTGATCCTACTGCTAGCTACTCCTACTCCGTACAACTGTGGACACGCTCTTACCAATTTATTTTGTTTTATTATTGTGCCTCCGATCCAGTAGTACATTTTCTTGCATGCTTTCGTAGTAGTGTGGCCAATGCCCATTATCCATGTGTAGACAAGCATTTTTTTTTTCTTGACTACTTTGAGACAGGGCAGAAATTAGCCCTTGTTTAGTTGGACCCAAAATCCAAAAAGTTGCTACAGTATCTGTCACATCGAATGTTTGCGGCCCGTGCATGAAGCATTAAATGTAGACGAAAAGAAAAACTAATTGCACAGTTTGGTGGGAAATTACGAGACGAACGTTTTAAGCCTAATTAGTCAATGTTTAGACACTATTTACCAAATAAAAACGAAAATGCTACAGTAACCCCAAAATCCAAATTTCACGAACTAAAAGGGCTTAATCTACTACTAGCTAGTATAGTAGCAGATGAGATTGCAGAAATCTAGCTAGCCATTACATCTCGTGCTGCATTGCATGCATGCTGCTAGTACGTAGTGCAGGTGAAACATGACCCTAATAAACAGTAAAGAGTAGAGCAGTAAAAACGAGTACAAGATGCAGCTTATAGCTAGCCACACCTAGCTGGTCATACTAACATGCTAGTACTACTACGACTACTCAAGTGCAGCTACGACTAGAACACAGTAATAACTCCATTTTCCCACTGGCCGTTCTGGCGTGTGTGTGTGTGTGTGCTGGTGGAGTGGAGGCGGCCTGGAGGCAACACGTATTACTAGTGCTAGCAAGCAGGCCGGACGTGGAGCGTCGCGATGGTGACACGCGCCCCGTCCCGAGTCCCACCACCTGCCAATGCATGCCCAAGATGGTTTATGGGCCGGGTAGGCGGCAGGCCCAAGATGGCTGCAGATCTCCAACAGCCATCATCTTCCAGCTGCTCTTGATTCTTGCTGCTGCTGGGACCTCACCGTGGTCATCGCCGCCGCACACGCTTCTCCACTTCCCGCTTCCCGCGCCGATCGATGCTGCTGGGACAGTGGCCGTCGTGCGAGCACTCCCGTTCCGTTCACCGATTCATGCGCGGAATCGTGCTCTCCCGTGCCGGGCCGCGGCCGCGGCCGCGGCTGCGAACGCCGTTGTTTTGCCCTCGCATGCTTCTGGCTCGGTCCAGTGCGTTTCAACAAAAGGAGTCCGCCAGGCAGCAGCAAGGTGCCGGCTTGGCTCAGCTGCTCGACGCTCGGTAGCACCGCGCGCGGCAGACGCATGTTGCCGGAACGACGGCGCCGACTCATGTTCCCTCGCGCCACATCGCAGCAGCAGGATGAAGGCGACGATCGGTTTCGCTATTTGGACTGCCGTCCTGGTCCACAGGCCCGAGCCGTTGGATGAATGGCAGCTGGCAGAGAGATGTTGGAAATCCTAACAGTAATTTGTGAAGAGCTCAAACTGCGCTTAGCTCAGACCTTATCAGTAGGGGAATGTTGATATTTTAGTTCCTGTATGTCAATTAGATGCCAAAAAAAGAAAGAAAAGAAAGAAAAGAAAATAAGATAAACATGTTTTTATTCTTTTTGGCTTCTAAAGGTAAAAACTGTATGGACATTTTTCCTCCACTCTCACTTGTTCGTTCCTTCCCCTCTCAGTTGATTTATAGATGTCAATTTGGGTATATGCTTAATTCTGAACTAATCTAGTAAACAGCAATCTTGATCCATGCAGCTATTTATTCATGATACCCAAGTACCGAGCGCGGTGACAGTGTGCCACTGACGGTGGTGGGTCTCCGTTGCATCATGTAACATTAGATTACCAGTTCTTCTGAGTTTGCTTGTCTATGTCAGCCTCTAAGTATTTTAGGATTTATCTATTATTCTGCAGTGAGTGAAGTTCAATCAGTTGCTGGCCACCTGAGTTCCATGCGAACGGTTTTATTATCACAGCACAGGATGTGGAATGGATGGGCTAATTCACCTTGATACTTACTCAATTATGCAAGTCACACAAGCAAAGGTTTGGTGAATATGGCAACATATTGCGCATCTTATCACTGATATTTTTCCCTGAAAATTACTGGATTTCCTCACTGTTTAGAAAAAAAAAATGTAGTTAATTTAGCCAAAAGACAATGTAGTTTATCCAAAAGAGAGAAAAAAAAATGGACAGAAAATACATTATTGCATTAGACGAAATAATAAACTTGACTGGATAGGCTGAGATTTTGCTAAAACAAATGGTCACTCAACAAAATTGTTTTGACACTGGACGGTTTTCTCATATGTATGTTTCATTTTATTTTGTATAGTGAAATCAAATTGGAGCAGGCTGCTATTATGAATTATTACACATACACAAAGTTCTTGGACCTAAAATCAAGTGAAGAGCTAGCGCCCGGACGTCTGGCCCCAGGCCCACGTCCAGACGCCTGCAACCGCTTCAGGACGCCCCGTGCTTGCATCGATCCCAGCGCCAGCGATTTAAATCACGTCTGCCACCCACGGTGATTCGCGCCCGATGACCACGTCGACCATCCGCGACTTGATCCCGTCCCGATTCGCCCCAGTCCGCGACTCTAACCCCATCTCGGTTGTGCCCCCCAGTCAAGCCCGCCACGCTCCTTCCCATCGCCACGCCGCTCCTCCCTCGACAGCGGCGCCATACCTGTCGCGCCCCGTTCTTCGCCAAGGCCTGCTCTCGGTCACGCCCTTCACGAGTCCTAACGTCTCATCTCCTCTGCAAACATCCGTCCGACCATTGCAACATATGCAGTATACTATTGAAACATACTTGTATAGTCATTGCAACGTCTAGATGAAACACATGAAACATGTATCTAAAACAGCTAAAATATTTGGAACATACACTTGCAATATACGTCTAAAACAGATAAAACATGTGGAACATACCCTTGAAACATACGTGTGTAGCCATTGCAACATATGCAACATCAAGATGAAACACATGAAATATACAGATGAAACACATGAAACATACAAATGAAACGCGTGAAACATATATCTAAAACAACTAAAACACTTGAAACATGTACTTCCAACATACGTATATAGCCATTGCAACGTACGCAACATACATATGAAACACTTGAAAATAACTTCTGAAACACACCTGAAACAAAACATGGCGCCGCCGGCAGCCATGGCCAACCTGGTGGGGAGCTGCGGTAGCCAGCAAGGGGCGCTCGGGTGCAATAGAGAGGGAGGATGGCGGCAGGCAAGCGGCTGGGCGTGGTTGAAAGGACCTTGATGTCGCCTAGAGGGGGTGAATAGGCATATTTAAAAACAAACTCGAGTAAAAGTTAAACTCTAGGTGCGGCACTGCCTCACCCTTGCAGAGAGTTCAACACAGACCAAACTTTGGTAGAGATGTTCTAGAGATGTCTAGTGACAAGTTCACCAAGTACCTGCACTCACAAACACTCACAAACAAGTAGATCGAATGGAACACAGGTAGTGCAATTCAAAACATAAAGATACAAGACACAAGATTTATCCCGTGGTTCAGCTCGCCACCAAGGTTTGCCTATGTCCACGCTGTTGAGGCTTGCCACTTAGTCTTAGGGTTTTGCAACCATTCCTCATTCTCAAGTTAAGTTCCACTAGATCAATGGGCGATTACAAACTTTCCCGCAGCTCACCACAAGCACGGGAGCTTGCCGAGCGACGCCTAGCCGTCTAGGAGGTTTCACCTCCAAGAGTAACGAATGTGCGACGAATGATTGACGCAGCCCAACAAGTGCTCAAGGTTTGGGCTGCTCTAATTTGCTCTCTAACTCTTAATCACATACTAATCACTCACTCTCACAAAAAGAGGGGTTAGAGAGAGCTCTCACAAGGCTTGGGATGTGTCTTTGATGATCTGAATGTCGGCTGAAGACGACCGGAGGCGTGGGATGAGTATATATAGTCACCCCACAAAAACTAGCTATTAGAATTCGAAAATTAGCCGTTATGGTCTGTAACGTGCGGCAATCGCCAAGCACTTGACGCTGTGGTCAACTTTGCCTCAAAAATCCGCAAATGCCGCAGCTCCTGAAACAAAGACAGTCACCTCACCTCACGGAAAACGCCATAACTTTTTACTTCGAACTCCGTTTTTAGTGATCTTGGACTTTTCAAAAAGCTTGTTTCGAGAGCTATCCAACCTTGTAGAGAACAAGCCCCAAGATCAACAAGTGCAAGTGTTGTTCTAGTGTGTTTCTTTCATGTTAGCACTTGGGTTCGGTTAGTTTGAGCACTTGAAACTTGTCTATGATCCGTATTGCATCCCC